TTGACACACCTCTGGGGTAGGGTGACTTTGCAAGGTACAAAATTAGAGTGTTGGACACTCTACTTTGACAGTGTCAACACTTCTTGGTCTAAAGATAAGTAAGTCAATCAGATAATGAAATGTCAAGCGGTGGTTTTCTAACTAGGTGACAGAATTGAATGCCAATAGTAAAAAATAACTTATTTGTATAGATTCCTAAATTCAAACTAGATACCACTCAATGAAAACATTATTGCTAGTATTTGGTGAACATAAAAACTCGGGACTGGAGTTAAAACTGGGAATTTGTTAAAGTAGCTCCAATCTCCATCTATGTACTGTGCTTTGTTTGCACAGTTTAAAGAATATTCTCATCTAGAGACATAAGGAAATGCAAATGGGAAGTGTCTCATCACACACCACACAATTCTTGGACACCACTTCGCTAAATAAAGATGTCACAGTCTCCTTGCAGTGCTTGCAAAAACAACTTTGCCTGGCAGAAAAAAAAAAGCTGGTTATCTGTTGCAATGTGATACTCAACAATAGTCTGCATTTAAAAAAATTATATTTAAAAATATTTTCAAAAATTAACATTGCATCAAATGTTTACAGAGACTCCCAAGACTGACAGATGAGCCCATTCCAAACCAATTCTTCACAGAGAGTAGACAAAGTACACCTCATGGCTATCCGTGGTACTGGAGAGAAATTAGACAGAGATACTACAGAAAAGTTAGTGTTTGGAAGGACAGAACTAAGAGCACTTTTGGTGAAAATAAAAATGCAGGACTATTTTCTAAATTGGCTTTTTAACTGAAGCTAGACCCCTTGACAAGCAGAGCACCTAAACTTGAATAGAAAACCCACAGGCTTGCTGGCTTATCCCATATGCTTGTGGGTTTTAAATATAAGAGACCTAAGTTTAAAGTGTCCAGAGTAGATATAAAGTAAGGGAGGAGAGGAGGATCTAAAAAAAAAAAAATCTATGTAGAACTGCCCTAAATCTGGTTGACCCTGTAAGCAGGCATGAGCAAAAAAAAAGTTTTTTGTTTGTTTTTTCCTGTTATATAGGGGTGGGGAGCTTAATTCTAGCCATGTAAACTGTTACCCTAAAAAAAATAATGGCATTCTTCAGAGCAAAATAATAAAATCCAGAATCTTTAAATGTATTACTCACAAAGTTTAGGAAACAACCCCAAACTACTAGGTTTACACTTGGAATTAGCAAGCAAGAATTTCAAAAATCTAGTTAAGTATGCTCTGAAGTATAAAAGGTAATAAGCTTGTAAAAAATGAACAAGTAGAGAGTCTCAACACAAAAATAAAGCCATGAATAAAGAACCAACAGGAAATTCCAGAATAGAAAAAAATATGTCTGAATAGAAGATTTACTAGATGAGCTTAAGAGCAAATTATACATGACAGGATAGAGTCAGTGAGCTTGAAGATAAATAAAAATTATCCAATCTGCAGAACATAGGGGAAAAAGAATGGAAATCGAAAGTCTCCATGAAATGCGAGTCAGTATCATAAAGCTCTGTTGTCTATAGGAGTACATACAGGGCAGGACAGAAGGGGCAGAAAATAGCTAAATATTTCTCAATTTCATGAAAGACATACATTTACAAATCCAAATGCAATGAACCCTAAGCTAAGAAAATCACATTTATGTATATAAAGAAAATTGCTGGTAAAGAAAGTAAGTACAGCCACATTGCAAAAATGAAACTAAACCAACATGTAGTAGGAGTACTTTCACTCCTAGATATTCACTGAAGATCTACTTTGAATAAGAATGTGGTTCATGTCCAGTGAACACCTCTCAATGATAAAAATGCATGTCCATCAATGACATGAATAACTTTCAAAACCACTATGCTGAAGAAAGCCAGATGCAAAGTACCAGTTTACCCCATTTATGTGAAGTTATAGAAGAGACCAATCTACAGTTAAAAAAGCAGGCCAGGCACTCCCTGGTGGCGCAGCGGGTTAAAGCACAGCACTGAGAATCTAAAGCCGCTTCCGCATGAGTTTGATTCCCGCCTGCCCCAGAGGTGACCATATGGGGAGGCAGACCTCTCCTGACCCGCCCGCTGCTCCCCTCAGCAGTGTACTTCATCGATCTACCTGTTCTGTTCCCCACTGTCTCTGGTGAAGCCTCTCACCGCCCCTGAGCCTCTGGCCTGCACCCCAGTTCTGTATGCACAAATAAATAAATCTTTAAAAAAAAAAAAAAAACTTAAAAAAAAAAAGCAGGCCGTTGGTAGCTCCTGAAACTGGGATAGGAGAAAGTCAACTCTGAAAGCACATGAGGAAACATTCTAAGGTCATGGGGCTTGCATTACAAAGAGTATATTGTTAAAACTCACCGAATAAAGCTTCACTAGTGGCACAGGGTTAAGTTTCAGCACACCATGCAGTTATCTGAAATCACTGCAGCTCAAGTTCAATCCCCAGCCAGGGAGGTGATCCACGTGATGTAGCAGACCTCTCTCCTGTCTTGCATGCTGCTCTCCTCAGCAGTGTATTTCAGGCAATCACCTTATTCTGCTCCCCACTCTGTCTCTGGTGAATCCTCTCACCCCCTGCACTTCTGACCTATACCCCAGCTCGTGTATGCATAAATAAGTCTTTAAAAATACTCATTGAATAGTAACCTTGAAATATGTGCATTTTACTCTAGGTGTTTGACCTTAGAAATATTAAATAGCAGCCCTCCCTGGTGTGGCAGCAGGTTAAAGAGCAGCACTGTGAAGCTGGCTTTGGCTACCTCCATGTGAGTTCGATCCCCGCCCGGAGGTGACCCACATGGTGCAGCAGACTGCTCCTGTCTCACCCTCTGCCCCCTCAGCAGTGTACTTTGTAGCTCTGCCTGTTCTGCTCCCCACTTTGTCTCTGGTGAATCCTCTCACCACCCCCGTACCTCTGGCCTATACCCCAGTTCTGTATGCATAAATGAATAAATCTTTAGAAAATTATTAAATAGCAACTACAACTATTAAACTAGACCTTACAAGTGTTCAAGGATGAAGTATACTGAACTTACTTTGAGATGTAATTTCAAGTAAGGTAGACTGATGGATAGCTGTGGATATATGGCACTTACTAAACAAATCTTTTTGTAGGTTTCAATTATTTCTTAGCAAAACATTGTCAGGGAATACTTACCTAACTCTCAAATGTGTACCCACAGAACAAAAAAACACCATTAAAAATGTGAACAGGCCCTCCCTGGTGGCGCAGCGGGTTAAAGCACAGCACTAAGAAGCTTAAGCCGCTTCCGCATGAGTTTGAGTCCCGCCTGCCCCGGAGGTGACCACATGCCCGGCAGACCTCTCCTGACCCGCCCGCTGCTCCCCTCAGCAGTGTACTTCGTCAATCTGCCTGTTCTGCTCCCCGCTCTGTCTCTGGTGAAGCCTCTCGCCGCCCCTGAGCCTCTGGCCTGTACCCCAGTTCTGTATGCACAAATAAATCAATCTTTTTTTTAAAAAAAAAAAAGTTAAAAAAAAAGTGAACAGATAAGAGATCAAATTTTGAGACTCTTATAATGCAAGTGATTTTTTTCTCATCTTTCTAGCTAGAAAGCTAGATCAGTAGAGCCATAAGGTAACTTCTACATATAAACAAAGAAAATAAAATAGCTCTAAATGCCTTCTAAATATAGCATTTGTACTAAGGCATGAAGCCACTGATTCAATGAACAAGCAATGGGCTGCGACACGCAAAGGGCTTTCTTTGGAGCTATGACTGAGGCAGTGTTTGCTGGCTTAAAGCTCCAAGCCTAACTGCTGGGCACAGAGGCGCCTTCATCTCAGTCTACACCATGCGGTGACAACAACCCTCCTCTAGCTCCTCCATTTCACTACTACTTTGTTCCATTACCACCCCACACCATATTGAGGAAATCATGTTTTCTTTTGGCTCCATCTCACTTCTATTCATTCTTAGCCCTCAACGTCCCCTGGCTCAGAGGTACACAAGGCACGGCCAACTCCATCCCAACAAAGCACACTTAACAATGACCTAAGTTACTTGACATTATTTCGTAACTGTCTTTCTCCTCCACAAAACACTCCCTGAGGGCAGAGCCTGGTTGTTCCTCATCTCTAGCAAGTGACACAGACGACAGGAAGGTCACATCCTCCGAGTGTCTGCTAAGTGTTCTACAGGGAGTGCCGACTTGAATATCTTGTTAGACCTTCAAATATTTGTTGATGAAGAAGATTCCCCTTTTACTTTCTAGACCAGAATCACCCAATACATGCTTATTGATACCCACTAGGTTCTAGGTATTATTTTTGATAATCAGGCTTTAATCTAAATAAGAGCACTATGCTCACTGAGTTCAGTTCAAGGGGTGTCCCCCCCACCAAGTGGGAGCCACACATCAAATGAAAAATACTAGTAAAATACTCCATATTTTTAACTTGCACACAACTTCTTAGTAACTCAGAAATCCATCCACTCATCTAATCTTCAACAAGCAGCTGCTCACTGTCCACCAGGTCAGCCACACACTAAGGCTGCAGGAAGCAGCGAGGTAACCTGGCCACCGTGTGGTGGTGAGGACACAAGGAGCCAGTGGTGACACCGGTGGGCGGGGTCTATGCCCAAGGCTTTGAGCCAACTTCACTCAAGTCCTCATGTATAGGAAAAACAGAAAGAATGCTCATTTTAAGGGATTATCTCAAGGAGGAAATGAAAGCATCCCATTAACAATAAACGCTACAGAGTATTAGTCACTATTATTACTGAGAATAGACGTGGTTAAGCTGCCTTGGTCTCTGACAAGTTGCTTTCAGTATCTGGAATGGTTTTTAACTGCATCAGGGTTTCCCTGGGTGACTCTAAATTGAACCTAAATTTTGGTTACATAAAGATTATGAAGAAATTTAAATGAAAATCAGTGTTACAGTCTGTTACCTAATACTGAAAAGGCTAATTTAACCCCCCACCAAACCTCACATAAAAATGCTTCCACATACATTATTATAAACAAGCAAAACCTTTTAGGGTTAAAAGTGTAATTTTATTTAGATGTTACTTGTACATAATCTATAGTAAGATATACAAACAGATAAAAATTGTTTAACAGGAGTTTTTTTATTAATACCACTTTATATTCAATTTACAACAGCATTGGTAATACTGCAAGATGACAGATACTCTGATTTATAAAACAAAAATTACTTTCTACTCTGGCTGATACATTCTCACTAGTCTTTAATGGATTAAAATGTATCATGTATATCAGTTGCAAATTATTACAAAACTTTCACAACCTAGCCACTTCGTGCCCAGAAAAGATTTTGATATTCTAAAATATTTATGAAATGAACATGTTAATTGTCTAATACTATACTTATAAAAGAAAAACAAGTGTACCAAATGTGGTGGGGGGCTAATGATGGAACATCATTTGCTCAGCTCCTTTATGGTGCTGAGTTATCATTTCATCCCCTTTGCCTAAATCTATAAGAGAAAACTCAGGAAATTAAACTAAAATGGGTGCGGGGAGGGGAAGGGAAGAGCTGCAGACCTTAAAATAACTTTATAATATATAAATATTTTAAATGTAAAATACAGGAACTGCTTTGCTTCTATTTTGGTAAATACTTCCTGAAACTGAAAATTCAAAACCTTTACTTTTTCAGGTAATAACGTCAGGAAAATTCTAGATTTAAATCTTAGACTAAATCAAATTTGCTGAGAAAAAAACACTGTAACAATAATCTAAATTGGGTTTTCGTTCCTTTCCATTCTTTTACAGGCTACATAACACATCAGGGCAAAAGCTTTTTCACTAGTCAGAAAAAAGGAGCTGAAAATAACTTGCTGATTCAACTACAGGAAGACAACTAATAATTAATAGGTTTATGAATATTTATGAATAAAGTGCCACTAATTTTATCATAATAAGATATAAACAGAACAAATGCTGATATGGGCAGTACCTTTATGAGTTCTCTCCAACCTGAGAACAGAAGGGACATTCAAAACAAAGAAGTATTATCAAATGTAAGTTATAGAATTATGCAGCACTTACTCAGAAGTAACAGTGAGAAAATAAGATGTTGGTAATGAAGACAAAAATGAGACTAAACATGGTAAAAGTTCCAACACAGTAGGCCTCTACACTGGGAAAAAGGGAAATTAAAAATGCCAGTAATAGCTATTACTAATATCCAATAAAATCCTGACGGCGACCACGGGGTGCCTAGCCCCAAGGTGCATGTGCCAAGCCTCCAGCACAGTGGCAGACTCTGCACCAGTGTGGTGGTGTTCCAGGAAAGGGCATGCAGGCATCGGCCTTCCAAAATCTATGCAACTAAAACCCAGTGTCTATGCTTCATATGCTGACCACCCTCAAGTCAGACATGGGCCCCGTCAGCAGCAAATGAATGTGACTTGAGGGGCTGGTTGATTTGCTCAGAACTCATTCACAAAAAAAAAAAAAAAAAAAAAAAAATCCGTTACTGATGGCCCTGTTTACATTCCTACCATCAACCCAAACCACTCTGATTTTAAAGAAACATTCCCTCATCACCACTGAGAGTCACTAATAACTACAGTCCCTTTGAAATACTGTCAGAATTCCTTAGTAAAGTGTCTTAGTATATTTGTGAAGTCACATCTATCATCAAAGCCTGAGGCGTTTATTTATTCTAAACAAAGTTATCCTTCATCCTGAATCACAAGATTAAGTCTCCCCACGGTCTGCCTTTGCGAGGAAAATGAACCCCATAGGTGTCCAGCATTGCCATTGGGAAGAAGGGGAAAGGCAAAAGTGACAGTGATCTGCTACAGCTACTGGTCCAAGAGGGACACATTTGTGAGGTACTTCTTCAATTTTAATGTGCTAACGTCAATATGAGAAAAGAGAACCGTGTGCTTCTAGGATCGAGAGAGGGCCCTGCTTGTGACAGACGCCTCATCTGGCCAGAGAGCCAGGAAAGCGAACAGCTGTCTGTGTCCGCTGGTGCCTAAGCCTACGATCATGACAGTGAGGTGTGATCTCAGCGCTCTTGGGCCGCTGGGCCTGGAGCAGAGAAGGCCGACTGGCCTCGCTTGGGTCCCGGCTCCTGGCGAACAGAATGAGCAGGCGATGCACCAGGGCTAACACTCGCTGTCCTGCTGGATCCTGCAGCTCTTCTGCCTGTTCTGCTTGGCTGGCGTCCAAGCTGTGAGGGATGCCCAAAGTCTGAGTGCTACCCCCAACAGTCCCTGAAGGAAAAAGGACCTCGGTCTTCATTGTCATTATTACGGAGCTGCTAAAACCTCTTTAAAAAATCAACAAGCATTTACTAAGTGAATGCCCACAGGGGATCCTGCCTGAAAAGGCCCTTCTAACTTCACATTTTACAAGAGCGTGCAAAGGCAATGGAATTATTCAACAGAACATTCAAACTCACAGAGGATACCAAACCAAGAAACTGAAAGCAGAAATATTTGATTCTCTTTGCTTGTTAAATCTTTCTAGACCAGCTTCTTTTAAAACACATTGAAAATAACAGGTAAAACAATGCCACTTACTGATTGGAAGACATCACTCTGACAGTCATTAATTTTGCAAAGACCTAACACCAGGCAGCTTCACAAACACACAGCGAGTCTGCCAAATTATAATGGTCAATAAGATAAAACCCAAACTGCACTAAATACTTTCATGGCCAAGAAAAAGGAAGCAAAATGCTGTTTTCAGGACAATGCAATAGTTATAGCATATTTCCTCATGTGCAGCACGATTTGCTATGTTTAGTGGCACTTAAGTATTACACAGTAAATACTGAAAAAACCCAGAATATTTGGATGTGCAAAAGCAATATCACATTATTAATACAAAAGTTGCTAAGCTACAGGGTTATAATACCACTATTTGTGTGCTGAGACCACCTAAGGTTTTCAGCACTTCCGGTGCACTGGGTCCTGGCTGGAAAGCTGCCTCATACCAGCCCTCGGCCTGCCGCGTGGCCTGCTCTGGCGCCATCTCAGTCAGACCAGTCATTCTCATCGAACTCGGAGTCGTCGTCAGAGTCGCTGTACTCCACAGCAATGCGTCTGGACAGGATGGTGGCTACATCATTCCCTACTGGCTCACGCTTGGCCTCTTGCTCACGCTGCTCTTGCACCTTTTTCAGCTGAATTCCTAGAGACCAAACACAGTGTTTAGAGAGCTGAGAAGTAAATCCCTTTGCTTAACAAAAATTTAAAAGACTAAACTAATATATTTGATTTTTTTCCCCCACTGACAGTAAAAATTTGGAAAATCTAAGGGGGATCTTGAGTTTCATGTCAAAACAAACAAACAAACAAACAAACAAACAAAACAGAAGCATGTGTGCTTAATGTCATGAAGTATTTTATAGCACAGAATGTGCTGAAATATAAAAAATGATGACCAGAGTGTGTGTGAGCATCATTCAGGGAAAAAGGAAAATTCCAGAGCTGTACTGTCCGATATGGCAGCCGCTAAAAGTCAGCTTCTTGTGAATGGTGGCTGCCATTTTATAGGACAGTGCCAACATGGAACCTTTCTATGGTGACAGAACATTTTTCTGCAGAGTGCTACAACCCCAAGGCTTGGACAATAATGTTCCACACCAATGGCTCTTGGCTGAACTTAGGAGATAACTGAGAAACCTTAGTTTCAATAATCATTATTGAAAATGGGTATGAAATAAAATTGTTCAGTTCCTTTGTTTAGTTAAGTAACAAAATGGGAAATGAGAGGATTAAAAGTAAAATCTTTAATTTTGCTTCTGAAACACTTTGAGATTTATAGAATAGCTTAAGGACTGGCAGGAGAAAGGCAGTCCAGATATAGTCTACATTCAGACTATTCAACTGAGAGCAGTTGATGATATTTGTTTTGGCAATCTTTTCCTAGGAATTCTCATTTATAAATACACCTTTTTTTGGGGGGGGGCAATGAGAGTAAGTGGCATACAATGTTCCATTGCCCCTAAAATATTTCTGTGTACTTCCTAAAAAGAAAAGTTTATAATCAGGTTATTAGCATATAAATATACTACCACCATCTATTTCATAATTTTTTAAGGTTTATTTATGCACACAGAACTGGGGTACAGGCCAGAGGTGCAGGGGCAGTGAGAGGATTCACCAGAGACAGAGTGGGGAGCAGAACAGACTGACTGATTAAATACACTGCTGAGAAGAGCAGTGGGTGGGTCAGGAGAGGTCTGTGGAGCCTTGTGGGTCACCTCCAGGGTGGGGATCAAACTCATGCTGAAGTGGCTTTAGAGTCTTAGTGCTGTGCTTTAACCCACTGCACCACCAGGGAGGGCCCAGATTTCATAAATTTTATTTAAATTTCTTTAACAGGCCTAAGTATAGCAAATGAAAAAAGCTTTCCAGCAGGTTTGGCGTCCAATATGGGATCACCCATTCTATTAGTTTTCACGTCATTGATGTCCCTTAATCAGGTGTTGTGTTTTATGACCTTCACAGTTCTTAATACAGGCAGGTCTTCATAGAATGTCCCTTGATTGGTGTTCAGCCGTTTCTTTATGATTAAAGTTTTGTATTCAGTCTTACGGGACATGACTGACAGATGTACAAAAAACAAAGCACTGTCCTACTATGATCCCAAATTCACTTATTCTATCAGTCATTAACTCTGGGACTCTTTTCCTTGATAAAATCAAAGCATGTCAATGATGTTAAGGAAATGCCCATGAGACCTGCTTGTGTTTGGGTGAGGCCTACACTTGGGGCTGCTTCTTGGGTGTCAAGCAGAAGGCAGAGGCAGGGACATTCCACCACCCTTCAGTTGTCACAGACGTGGCATCGAGACACCCACAGTCACTTCTGACTGAAGCAACTAGATTGTGACCAAGAGGCCACGTGACCTTCATTCACCATAGGAGAAGCTCTGGAAGCTTGCCATAACCCTCAGTCAATCAGGGCCGAGGCTTAGGGTTAAGAATAAGTGATTTGTGTAATGCTTCATGTGGGATTCTGAAGACAGGCCAAGCCTGATTTGACCAGACTGCTCCACTCCTCATGTTTTGGGGTTTAGTGTAGGAATTTCATCTGACAAGAGTTTTGCTACTAAGTAAATGCTGAAAAACTATAAGCTTGTTATCAGGCTAAAAGTATGTAAGGTCTAGAACATAGCCTAGATTTAAAAAACCTAAACATTAAGATTCCTTTCTTGCATCTATACTTTTACCCCTTAGGTAGAATGCCAAAAAAAGATCCAATTAATTGATCATATTTACTACAATCAAGTAAAGCTTTCCTGAATTCTCAATTCTTTATGTGTTTACTATGCACTGGCAAAACACATCTACTATTTATACAAAAAAATCAAACAGGCTCCTTTGACTCTATTTTAAAATCCATTTAGTGTACAAAGCAGTCTTCTGAAGATGACTAAGCTTCTGAAGAAGGCTGGTTGGAAATATAAAGAGATCTCTTGCCAAGAGCCAAGACTATATGCCTGGGGTATTCCACTCACCCATGCGAATAGCAGCAAGAAGATCACTTCGAGCATCACTTATTGGTGGTTGTGCAGTTTCTGGTCGCTTTGCCTCTACTGGGAGGCCATGCATGGGGGAGGAGGAGAGAGAAGAGCCTGCCCCAGGAGGGCCTGCTGGGGGAGGAGGTGGGCCTGGAGGCGGTGGGGCTGTGACCACCAGCCCAGTGGAAGGAGGGTGAGGAGGAGCGGTGTAGGAGGAGCCAGCTGATGTGGGGAAGGAGGGCTGCGTGGGAATCTGGAGAGGGCTAACGAAGGCAGTTTGTGCTGAAGGAATCATAGGAGGTGGTGGAGGAGGCGGTGGCCCTGAGGGGTTGTAATATTCAATTATCTGTGCTGGAAGCATCCTAATAAAGAGATCAAACACAAGTCAGTAAAGGTCACCTCCGCTGAGATCCTACTGTCCCCTCCAAACACTACACATTGCTGGACTTAAAACAACAGAATGCTACTACCCATACTTTGGGGCTATTATTTTCACAAGTTTATACTATTTGTTATAATGGAACACAAGAACATCTATTAAAGTATACCAAAAAGATAACTAGAAAAAAGTAATTTCCTGTGGAGGGACAGAATAAAGTAATTGACTGGAGACGTAAGAACAGCAACACAAATACATTCTTTGTTCTGGGTAGCTCACAAACTTACCTTATGAAGATTCTGTGGTCATTCAGAATTGGAAAATTCTGTATTTCTGAACCCATTCCCATAGAACTTCCATGGCACTCATTAGAATAACAAAGGCTGCACAGAAGTGCTACAGCCAAGAAATCTAGAAATCTGCTGAATTCTACTTAGCCTAGAGTTTTCCGAGCCAACTGTGGCCACCAGTGCTCTCTCCTGACACCTGGTAAGCACCTCAGGATACACTATGGGGATCTGGAGTTAAAGAGCACCAAAAGTTGACAAATGTCAACGACTGCGTGGTAGGGGAGAACCTAGGGACATACGCTGCCCTAGAGTGCAACGTGTGTGAGCTAAAGCACGTATATATTTAACCTTCCTGGGCACTGACTCTTAAGGGAATAATGCTGTAGAGACTTGGGTTACATTGAAGAGAGTGCGCTCGAAACAGTTGATTAAAGTAATAAAGGGGGGTGCTTAAACCAGTACACACTTTGTTGCTGGGGTCTTTTCTAGGAGACGAGCGACAGAAGATGAAGAGGTGATGTCTGTTTAAGGAGTCAGGAAAGGAGCTTATGTAGTCAAGAATAAAAGCCAATGCCTGAAGTTCCTTCTGTGAAGGGAATTATGTGGTCCCACCCAGAATATATAAAGAAACTTGGAGAGTTGGGGCAGGTTCAGAAACAGCATTTTGTCTTGGTCAATGCCTTCACAATTCATTCGGTCACGCATGAGTGAACTGTGTATACAAGGGATACAGATACATACCTGGGATAGCTCTGTAAGAAAAAGGGGACAGTGTGACACTGTCATTTGTAATAAATGACTGAATCTAAGTCCAGTCCTTCTAGGCTACAGTCTGACCTCTAGAGTATGATCACTCCATTACAATCCTATACCACCTGATGTCTACTGCAACAGCAAGTAGTGACTGACGCACAAGGAACCCCGAGTTACCCGTAGTCAGATGGCGCCAGGGGTGCGGAGGCCTGGGGCCCCTCTGCTGCCTGTGGGGGAGGCGGCGGTGGCGGCTGCTGCGGCCTGTTGAGGGCCGCGTGCCTGGCCGAGGCCGACGAGGGCCGGTGCTCAAGCTCCGAGGCCTGGCTTGCTGGCCCGTGCGGGGGCGCATCACCAGCTGCGTAGGAAGGGGCCGCAGGCTGCGGGTGCAGAGAATGGTTGGGAGTAGCCGGGTAAGAGTAATCTGTGACATCCGAGGCGTGGGACCTGACGTTCAAGAAGAAAGGGTGGGAAACATTTAAGTTAAAAAAAAAAAAAAAATGTCTCCTAACAGGTCGAAGTGTAAATCCGAATTATGACATTGTTAATGGACAAAAGTGACATATTTATTTCCTTTACTATCTCTAGGTCTAGTCCCGCGAGAGCTTCTGAGCAACAATGTGACTACTTTAGCAGCAAGCCGCAGGGTTACATGAATTCGGATTCCCAGCTTAGACAGAGTAAGTCAGACAGACTGGCAAGCAGGAAAGAGCCTGGCTCCCCTCTGACAGCATTTAGCACACTCCTCTCTAGGAGAGAAGGCGATCTAAGACAATACACCTAATTTAAACAGCATCTAAAACAGTATTTCCCTGGCAATGAAACTGACAGCACATAATTAGAAATGATAAAATGGCAAGTGAACTGGATAAACATTAACAGTAAGAACAGAAAAAGAAATCAAGAATGCACTACAGTGACTCGCGTTTCAAAACTGAAGAAATCTGTCTGGCCAAAAAAGAAAGTGGGGTAAGCTGGAAAGGCCTTCTTGTTTTCTTTGAGTGCACAGCTGAGCATGAGACTCTGAAAGGAAAGGACACCCTGTATTAGCTGAGCAGAGTGCAGAGAGATGCAGGCAGCTGGGATGCCAGGAGGCCCTCGTGAGGGCACACGGTTCTTGAGTGGCATAGCTGCATGGGCTGAGGGCGTTAGTAAGGGCGGCCGTGCTCCTGGCCAGGGCTACCGGACACACTGTCAGTAAGGGGACTGCACATCCTCTCATGATGGCCAAAGCAGGGCAGGCATCCCAAGCTGGCAAACCAAGAAAGCGAAGTGACAAACCCTCTGGGCATCCCGTTCTCTTTCGCGCTCCCTGCCTGCGCCAGTTTCTTTGCGTCACTCATAAACTCAATGCCCATTTTTCTTCTCTCCCACTCTTCTTTTCTTGTTCTTACTTTTCTCACATTTATTTGCTGGTTTCTGTTAGGATTCAGCTTGTGTTTCTCCCTCTGAAGGAAACAGGCAAAAACTTGTTGGAGATGTAGAGGGAGCAGTCATCAACTGAATTACCGTCTTTGGAATTCAGACAGCAGCTTCCCTTAAGTGGAGCATCACACGACACAGAAAAGCTTTCTAAATGAGAAGAGATTGCTTTTTTTCCTTCTTCCCTAATTGCAGTGTAATGATAACTTACTTTTCCCCCCCCTTCCCTAATTGCAATATAAATTCTAGATTAGGTGTGTCTTTTAAATGAGGCAAACTGATAGCAAGTGAGTTAAAAATATTTTTAATGGGGGACGAATCTGACCTGTATTTAGATTCAGCATATTTTAAACATGTAAACATCTAAAACTCTGGAGTTATTGATAACATGTGGCTGACTGTGTATATCTGTGTGTTAGGTGGATGCATGACTTCATAAAGGAAGCATATTATTTCATAAAACATGGAGTGTTCCTGATGAAATTGTGAATATCTGACATAATTTAGTGCTATCCTTATAAAGTGGCTTTAGAATTAGAAAAAGCATTAGAAGGAGACCAGAAAAAGGGGGGTATTAGGTGGAAGAATATAGGAAAAGATAGGGGATATCTGAAACAGAAAATGAGAACAGATGTGCTCTGGAGGGCAGGCCTTGGAAGAGGGTAGAGCAGCAACTGGCCAATTTCAGGGTGAATGTCCATATAAAAAAGGGCACTGGGAGGCTGTAGAAGGGAGCAGGGAAGAGAAAGAGAAAAGAGGCTTGCAGTGCCCAGTGGGAAGATAGAAACTGGCCACAGGAGACAATGTAATGTGAGTAGAGGATTCTGCAGCATCATGTCCTTGGCAATGATCTGTCACAGGAAGAAAATGGCAGAGGTGGAGATGACAAGGAGACATCAGGAAGTACGTACAGAAGTGGAGATGGTGGGGGGGGGGGATCACGTGAGTTGCCCAGCAACTTGTGGGTATGCAGGTGAGCAGAGTAGGAACAAAGTAAAATAACAGAACAGGAGGAGGAAAATACAATGAAAGTTGAGCTTGAGGTATCACACTCCTAAATAATGGTGAAATGGTGGTAGTCAAGAACGCTATCCATTCTTGCTCTAAATCAGGCTTAGCTAAAACCATCCTGACAATCTATAGAGAGGGGAAAAATTGATGATTAGGTTATGTGGACTAGGTTAAATAAATTATTATATGAATGACTTATTCACATGTTATGAAACCTTCACTTATCCTAGATAAGTCAGGAGGAGAGGATGTAATCATTAAAAATCCTGTTTCTGCATTGTATTTAGAATATGCATGTAAGAAAGAAAAGCTAAAAGAAAAAAAGAGCATTATTTCATTTTTGTAAAAAAAAAAAAAAGACACATGTACAAAAAACAAAAAAGACACATGTACAGAAATGTATTACAATCAAGTAGTAGTTTCTCCAGATAAAAAATATTATGAGAAGTGCTGAGACTGTGGCAGAGTGAAGACTCCAAGCTCACTTCCTCCGTATACTGAGAAATAAGACTGCATCAGAACAAGTTAACAGCCCCTGAAGGAATTGCCCCTGACAATTAATTACAGCATACCTTAGAAGCAACATGTGGGAGGGAAGGGCCCAAGGGGGCAGTGGAGTAAGCCCAGCAGGCAGCTGGAGTGCAGAATGCTAAAAGCTGTGCAGTGGGACCAGCAGTCAGCCCAGACACATGGGTCTGGTAGGCATGGAAAGTAGGAGAATAGGAACCTGGGAAGTAGCCTAGACATAGTAGGTCCTGGGAAACTCCAATAAACAGTGGAGTGGGTCTGGCAAGTAACCCAGATGCTGTAAGTAACCCAGCAGGGTGGCAAGTAACCTAGCAGGCCTAGGCAGATAGCATGGACACAGTAGATGCTGGCAGACACTGGTAATGCCAGCAAGTGGTGGAGTGGCATGGGCAGACATGTAGGATCTGGCGAGCAGTAGAATAGAACCAAGCAGCAGCCTAGAAGTGGTAAGTCTGGGAAAGAAGCAAAATGGACCAGGAAAGCAGCCCATACACTGGCAGTCTCTAGGAAGAGGTGGAGCAGGCCCTACAAGCGGCATAGATGGTAGGCCTTGCCAAAGGAACAGTTGTGGCAGGCCCAAGAAGAGGCAACAGTGGGCCTTGGTCCCCACTGGCTGGGGCTCTAGGGTAGGAGGTGGATAGAGAAAAGAGCCTGAAGTTGTCTAGATTACAGATCAGAGCTATTAACTCAGCCAGGGGCACTGGGGAGGGGGATAGAAGAGTTTGGGTGGAAGCACACCCACCTGATGAGAGCAAAACCTTGTGGATGAGCTGGGGTGTTCCACATTTGCTATGTCCCCTATAAAAATAATACCAGAGCAAGCACACTGATCTCCTTCCTACCATCTGAGACTGGTGTAGACCTTGTAAGGCAAACTGAGAGCACATCAACTGCTGAAATCTGTCACCTCAAAAGCAGGCGAGGAAGGATATTGGGGATGCTATAAATACAACCCCAAATATACACACCAATATCAGGAATCATCCAGATCCCTTCTCTACCTTGCAAACTCAGCAACTACAAAAGAGATCTAAGTTCATACAGAAGCCAATAATGGTCAAATAAAGAAATAAAATCACAGCATCACCAGTGGAAAAAAAAAGTAATATAAATTAACCCATGACTGAATGCTGAGGATACTGAAAATAATTAACATAAGGAGATCTTAAGTAGAAAAATGGGGAAACAAAAATACTTAACACCTGGAGATATGAGGCCTCAAGATAATATGACATCCCAAGGTGAGAACAACTACATAGAATTCAATAAAAAAATATGGAAAATTGTATCTCCCCTATAAGAGAGTTCAGAATTGCTATGTAATAAAGAAACTTGAAAAGGCAGAAAGTCAAGATAATACAAAGGAACTCGGAAAAACTATCCAAAGAGATACAATGAACTCAGAAATAAAATCAACAGAAGGTAGAAACTGTGCCTTAAAATAAGAAAATAATGGAGATTCAGGAAGTAAAGTGTTCAATGAAAGAGTGTTTCAAAAAAGTGTTCATTTCCCATAACCATGGGAAATGAATAGATCAAATGGTGGACTGAACCAGTAACCCAGAAGATAGTAATATGATAAGGACTCGGGTGAAAGAAGAAATAGATGTTTAAAAAAAAGGGGCAATTTGAGAACTATCCCACATCATAGAAAGCCAACATAAAAATAATGATATCCTAAAAAGGAAAAGTGGGGGGATAAGGAGATTTTAACCAGAAAAATAGGAGAGGAAAACCTTTCACACTTGGGTAAGGAATTAAATATGCAATCTCATGAAACTAAAAAGAACACCTGGCTACCCAAATTCAATGAGACCTATTCCAATAAACATACTAGTGAAATTAGCAAAGAGTCCAAGTTAAAGAAAGCATACCAAACTGGGGAGTGAGGAGGGGAAACAGGAACTCACATCAGACTCAGCAGAAAGTCTACAGACGAGGAGATAACAGAATTAGGTATTCCAAATATCCAAAGATTAAAAACTAGAAGCCAAGAATACTAAAAAAACCCTCCCAAATAAAAGTTGAAAGAATTTGCAAATACTGGGCCTCCCCTACAAAACATATTAAAAGGAGTATTGCTATTTAAGGCAAAGCAAAGCAAATTCTGAAAAACTTGCAAATAGAATTTAAAAAATAAAGGAAAAATGGCAGTATCAAAAAATATCAATAATGACTCTAATGGGTAAATGAACTGAACTACCAATCAAAATGCACAGTGTATGGCTAGATCAAAATATAAAACACAACTTTTTGCAGCCCTCAGGAGATCCACCGGAGCTTTGTAGATAAGCATAGGATCAAGGGAAAAGGGTGCCAGATAATATGCAAGCAGTGACAACCAAAAAAGAGCAGGGATACCTATATCAGATGAAATAAACTAAAAAATGTAACAAGAGACATTATTAGACACTATAATGATTAAGGGATCAATACATCAGAAAGATAGAATGCTCATTAAAATATACAAGCCAAAGAAATGAACACAAAAAATATAACAATTAACAAGTCTAAAAGGAAATATTGGTTGCAGCACAGTAGTAGGGTACGTACACACTCCACTTACATCAATGGGCAAATCTACCTGAACAGACCAATTAAAAGAAATATGAAAATAATAATCAAATATCTACAAACAAAACAAAACAGAAGTTTCCACTGGTGAGTTCTACAAAACCTTCATTAATACCTATCCATCAACTCTTCAAAAAGTCTTTAAAAAATTTAAGAGGGAATATTTTATGAGGCCAATATTACTCTGATATTAAAAGCAGACAAGCACCTCACAAAAAAGAAAGCTATAGACATATTCATGATGAACACAGATGCAAAAGTCCTCAACAAAAATCTCAAATTGAATTCAATAATATATTAATAAAATCATATACCACATCCAAGTGGAATTTATTCCTGGGATACAAGAACACTTCAACATACACAAATCAATGTAATTCACACTATCTAAAAGAAAAATAAAAATCATATGTTTATAACAACAGATGCAGAGAACACATTTGAGAAGGATCCATTGAGAACAAAGGCTCTTAGTAAATGGGGATTGAAAGAATGTGTCACACATCAACCTAGAAAAACCTCTGTGACAAGCTCACAACTAACAAAATACTCAGTAGTGAGAAACTGAAAGCATTTCTTATGATATCAGGTACATAACAAGGATATCCACTCTCACCACTAATAGTCAACATAATACTGGCAGTCCTAGATAGAACAACTAGGCAAGAGAAAGATTATAAAAAGAATCCAAATAGGAAATAACTAAAACTATCACTATTTGTAGATGACATAATATATACATAAAAAACGTTAAGTTTTTTAGTGGGCTAAAAAACTATCAGAAAATATAAATCAGCAAAGTATCAATCTCAAAGTCAAAATCATTACACTCCTCTATATGCAAACAGTAAGCCAGAAGAGAAAGAAATCAACAAAACAACCCTATTTACAGCAGCATCATAAAATATTAAATACATAGGAATGAATCTAACAAAAGAGGTGAAAGACTTATTCAATGAAAATGGTAAGACTGCTAAACAAGTAAGAGACACAAAGAAATGGAAAGATATTCCACTGGATATCTTTGAATCCAATGGATAGTCATGGATTGGAAGAGTTAAAATATCCACCTTACAGGTTTGACAAATATAGCAAACATCATTGAAATTTATAGCAAAAATATAGCAAACATCATTGAAATTTATATGAAACACAAAACAACCCAGAGAGCGAAAGCAGTCTTGAAAAAAAGACACAGAAGTTATCACATTCTTAGGTTTCAAACTATTCTACCTAGCTATATCAATCAAAATAGTATGGTATTGCAATAAAAAGAGACACACAAACCAACAAAACACAACTGGAAATCCAAAAAATACCCCACATTTATATGAAATTAATCTACAGCAAAAGAGCAAAATGTAATCAAAGGTGAAAGGAAAGAAAATGCTGGCAAAACTGCAGAGCTACATGCAAAATATGAAATTAGTTTTTACTCTCCTATACTGTTCCCCAAAATTAAGTCATACTGTATTGAAGTCTTGTATATAAGACCAGAAATCATAAAATACATACAAGAAAACATGGCAAAATACTCTACAACATCAAGTTCGGTGTTATCTTTAGCCACTAGACTACCAAAAAAATCAAAAGCAAATAGGACTACATCAAACTAAAGAAGCTGCTGCACAGTAAAATAAAACATCCTAAAAATGAAAAGATATCTTAGGGGGTAGGAGAAAATATCTGTACTTCATTCATATGACAAGGGGTTAATATCCAAGATTTACAAAGAACTCATATAACTAAACAAAAAGAAAACAAGGAACACATTTTTTAAAATGATCAGAAGAGAAAATAGACACTTCTGCAAATAAGACATACAGATGGCCAACAAGCACATGAAAAAAAAAATCACTTATCAGGGAAATGTAATACAAAAACACAATGAGATACCTTCTCACTCCTGTGAGGATGGCCTATATTAAAAAAAAGAAACCAAAAACAAAAGAATTTACAAATATTGGTGATGTATGGAGGAAAAAAAAACCCTCATGGACCACTGGTGAGAATATAGACTGGCCTAGCCCTTATGAAAAATATGAAAGTTCCTCAAAATATTAAAATATATATGTATGATCAGCAATTCCACTTGGTATTTATCCAAGGAATGCAAAAGCCCATCAGATGCATTCCTACCTTCACTGAAATGAAATGGTCAAGTGATTTTACAATCTAAGTACCCAAAGAGTGATGAGTGGATAAAGATGATGTGGCAGATACATACAATGAAATACCACTCTGCTATAATGAGGTGAAATCTTGCATTGACCTGGGTGGGCCTGGAGGAGAATATACTAAATAAATTAGAAGGAGAAAAACAAATACCAGATGATTTCATTCATACATAAAATACAGGGGAGAAAAAAACAACAAAGGCACACATAAAACCAAATGAAAACAATCCCCAGAAATATGACTTTAGAACTGAGGCTAGTAAAGAGGTGGAGATAGGGGACAAAGGGCATTTGCGTTGGAGATCCACGGGTGCTGTGGTGGTAGACATGGTGTGGTAACGGGTTCTGAAGAGGCATGAACCCGTTGCCCTAAAACATGCACTGTACTGTAAACCAATGTTACATCAATAAAAACAATGAAATGTTATACTGAAAAAAAAAAAAAAAAGAATTAGTGTAACTATTACCTGATGACATAATTGTACTTTGCACCTTAGTTATATTATTAAAGTAATGATTTACATAAAGATTCTCGTCTGTAATTTGTAAATATCAAAACCTTGTTTTATATACTGCAAAGAAGTGGTACCATGTGGCAAAATTTTCATTTCTATATTAACTTAAGGGATATGATCCTTGTCAATGTTGAGCGAGGATGTATTTATCTGGTGCATATATACAGAAAAGGGCTATGGAAGTAGTATAAAAAAAGGAATTACTACTTTATTTTTGAAAACGTAAAACTTATAAACTCCATTTGCTGTCTGAAAAATAAGAAAAAAGGAATACCTAAACTATAATGACAGATAATTAAACAACCTGAATGACCATCACTTTTATACCCAGCATGGAACAATCTAATCTCAGACACTGAAATATCATTGAACTGAGGATTTAAAAAAGTCATTTCTCCATCTGCACCTGTTAAAATAAAAGTGTGCATATTGAGTATATAAAATATAGTATCTGTTTTGCCTGAGTAAATAATCACAATGAAGTTAGCTGGAAAAAAATTAAAAAGTAAATTGACATCCTGATAGCTCTAAGTTCAATTACACCTCTCCACACCAATGAACTAGTGAGTAGATTTCTATCGTCATTTTTACTGCCTGTAGAAATAACCTAACTAAAAGATTCAAACTTGAGGTTAGGTCTCAGTTTAAGTTCTAATTATTCTCTAGTGTTTAACAGTTAGCTTGTACAGAAAAAATTCCTAACAGTTGCCAATCAATGACTTACAAAACTTCTGGGGTAGGAATATTTATAGGCATTATAATCATCAAATATTAAGTACCTTAGGTATGTGAGAGTTGTACTAAACAATGAAGGTATTAAATGTTAATAAAAATATTAAGATACAGATGTAAGGCTAAGTTTAGGTTATTGTGTTTGAAATGTTCTTGACTCACGTAAGAATTATCTGTCAAATTTTTAAATGCTGATGGAAGATTTTGATAGTCTTTCATGGGCTTCAAAGTAGAGATTTCAATAGAGGCTATAATTTTCCATTAGCAGAAATAGGGAATTAAACCACAAGTTAAAATTGACTAGTCATTTCTTTAGTGACCAAATTGTTCACACCTGCAAGAAATATTTTTACTTAATTGCTTAGAAATTAGTAAACTCCAACAGAATTCTCCTAAAATCAAAATACATAAGATTAGTTAAAGAAAAATATACCTTTTGTTCATCACTTTTTTAAAAAGGTTGTAAGAAAAACCAATAAAGTTATTCGTCATATCAACCATACCTACGAAACATTTTTACATATCAAGTGACAAAGGAAATTCAAGAAAGTATTAAATGACTAAAATTAAAATGTTTATGATATTGGCAGTTACTAAACCCAACATCAAAATTAATGCTAAAAGACTATATCTAGGTTAAATGAATGATAAAACTCAAATCAGAGATGGAAAGTCATATGAAATAATAGAATGTAAAATAAAGCTATTTTAAAATATTCTCAACCTAAACATGTATATAAATACACACACACACACACACAATTAATTTTTAGGCAAAGTTTTGAAATATATTGTGGCTCATATATATACCAAAGCGAATGGTGCATATCTGACATTTAATGAAACCAAAAATGCTATTCAGAAGCTGTGCTACAACACACACACACACACCTAGTGTCCGGGGACAGGGATCCCTCGGAAGATGCTCCATGGTACACACTCTGAGACAACCTGTTGTCGGGTCTAAGCTCTTTGTCATATGCCATCATATTCCACTCCTGGCGCCTGTTTCTGGCTTTTCTAACCTTTTTCACCTCACGGGTTGTGCCATCTATACGCTTTTGCTCCTGATGTCCAGGAAAAGAAAGCAAGCATGCGAGACAGAAGGGAAAGGAAAACAGCAGGTTAAATGCAGTTACAATGCACGGGCACAAGTCTGCTGTGCAGACAAGAGACATTCCCATTTCAATCACACTGCTGAGAAAATGCTAACAGCATGTACTTTCTTAGAAGTACAAACCCAACAAAAAATAACTGATAACTACTTCATCAAATAAAGGAAACTTAACCATGCTGCAATGAGGAGTTACTTACCATCATCTTTAGTAAAAAGTTCTCACTGCACTCGGCTTGTAGTTTGTTTAAAATATACTGTATCTTTTAGAGCCATTATACAGATGAAACATCTAGTATCATACAGAGATAGCCATTGATTTGGAGAAATTCCATGATTTTGACTGATTTGTTTATATACAATCTTCTTTCAAAGAACAATTCAAAGCATTCTGTTTCCAGTTTCTTAAGGATCATCACAGACTATTGAAACTAATCTTGCAGGTATCTTAGTACAAAATAAATAAATAAATAAATAAAAACTTACCTTCCTCTACAAAGAATCATTCCTATTCCAGTCCTACTTGGCTCCTCCCCCAGCCCCCAGGTGTATCTGATTAATACTGGGCCTTTCAAAGATATCTGGAAGGGAGGACAGCTACTTCTCTGTTTCCTGCTGAGGATGAGAAGTGCATGTCTTTACGTGCTCTGGTCCCTTCCAGGCCCTCCACACATGGTTGTCCACAGAGTGCACACTCTGGAATGCTGGCAACGAGCTGCTCCAGGTGCGCTGGTGGTGCTTACTACGTCCCAGGCATTGTGCCAGGTACTGATGGAACAAATGGCAGACAAAAATACTTTCCACCCTCCTTGAGCTAATAGTCCAGTGAAGCCTACAAAATCACACAAATAAATGTCTAGTTATAAAATGTGGTAAATCATAAATGTATCATGTACAGAATGCCATCTACCCTTAAAATCAGGGAGACCTGGAGTGACAGAGAGACAAGATCTGTAGGCAAGGGGCTCGGACTTTTGGGGCAGATGGGTGCGCATCACGCCAAGGGGACAGCACATGCAGCAAGTCTGAAGAGGATGGAGATTTATCAGGAGAAGCAGAAAGTAGGCAAACGAATGACTCCCAAATTCTGAGAGTTGTAAAGACTCTGAAGATTATGGTGAAATGTGCTTTTTACCCAAGGAGCAATGGGGAACCACTGAGGAGTGAGGAAGGAGGGGCTCACAGGCCAAGGAGGTATTTGGAAAGATCTATGCTGTGCGAGAAGCTCAGAAGGGGGAAGGCAGGGAGGCAGCCGGAACGCTGCTCAGGTGATGGAGGACAGAGGGTGTTCTAGCTTAGGGTGGTGGCGAGGGTGGAGAACTGGGCTCTATCTTTTCAGAGAGAGTCAGCAAGCTTAGAAAATACACTGACAAAGGATGTAAACATGGAATTCATGGAACATACATAAAAGGTTCAAAAAGATAAACATATGTGTAAATTAGATTTCAAGGGTCTCATCATTAATAATAAAAACAGTACTATCCAGGACTGGAGGACACCTGGCGAGAGCATACACCAGTTAAGTCTTCTAAGGGTTGGGGGCAGTATGATAGTCTTTAAAATTTTAAAATTCACATCTGGCATCTAGAAATTCACCCTGAAGAAATATCTCCACACGAGTACAGGGCTTTCTACTGCTATCCTGCAGTAACACCAATTTAGAAACAACCTAAATATTTATTAGTTTTCTAGTGGGTAAACAGTTTATAATGCATTAATACTGCACAACTATGAAAAAGAAATACACCTTTACTTATGTCAATATGTCTATATCTGTGTGTAAGTCATGTGTAGCACAACCTGTGCATACAAAACACTGTGAAACATGTATGCATCTATTTATGAATGCTTAAAAGGGTTCAAAAATAAATATATCAAACTGTTAACAATGGCTAGTTGCACCCAAGGGGAAAAAAAAATCTATCCCCCAAATTTCTAATCTTCTATTTATGTCAGTCACTTTATAACAAGCAGGTATCATTTGTATACTTTCAATAACAAAGGCAGGAGAGGGGGAATATAAAGAGGGGAACTTCAGTGAATTACATCATATATCCCAAATAAGAACCACTGTATTTAATGTACCTGTCATCCTTATTTGTAAGACATGTATGTTGACCTATTTAGAGATTCAATTTTATATCTCAATTATTTTATTGGTTGCTGGCCTCCAAATCTCCAAATCCAGCAAGTCACACACACACACACACACACACACACACACACACACACACACAGTCACTCCTTTTTACACAAGGGCCACACACATACCCACACAGGTGAAACAACTATGACAAAATCTTAACAGTACTATATCTATACTCCATTGATGGAGACCAACTTTAAATTGCCTAAAGTATCCCAAACTGTTTATTACCCCAAAATATCAACAAATTCTGTGTAGAAGGTGTCTCATTCTGAAAACACCAACTCATTTGCCTTTCAGCACCCCCTTTTCACCCTCACCTGAGGACACACTCACCACTTTGGCTAGCCATTTCTACTATCCATACTCAATGATGTACCACACGTTTCCATGTTCCCAAGCCTCAAATTCTCGTGCACTCCAAACTGTCATTCCTACGGGTAGGGTCAGTGTACATATAGGCCTCAAAATCTTAAGATCACCAACCCGTAATACTAAGTTTTTCTCTTTTCTGAAGCAATCTAATATGAGAAAAGCAAATCAGGTAACCACTTTTTTAAAATACAGGTTACATATAAAAGTCTTAGCAGATATTTTCCTTCGGAGAATTAATAGTTTAAATCAAAATTCTGCACTCCAAGAAACACTTTTCAAAACAGAAGTCCCTAAACCTGTGCAGAGTAGGGCTTGTCCGAAGAGGATCTGCTGTGTTTCTCAGTCTTCAGCTTACCACTTTTTTGTCTCTGACTATCCTATCTCAGAGAATCTGACTTTTGGTAAACACTACCCCCCTGAACATGTTGATCACCCACAGTTTTCAGTCCATTGAACAACTCACCAAGGTCTTAGTTACAGCTAGGTGGTAAAGCAACGTTACAAACACATAATTATATCTCATGTGAAATGTTGAGTGCTTTATGAAGTTTGAAAGAGTAGAAGGATGATGGTTATAAAACACAGCTCCAAATACAACTGAAACTTTAGCCATGCTTTTGTTAAAGCAAAGCAAGTGTTAGAGAACAAATCAGATAGTATTTACTGAAGAGTATGATTACTGTGTTACTGAACTGTCAGTACCAATCCAACATCTCAACATGAATTATTTACTGATTTATTTCTAAACAAGAATCCTACCCATACATTTTTATGTACATTTCCCATGCTAAAATTATTTACCTTCTGACGCCTTTTTTCTTTCCTTTTGTCTTCTGTATCCTGTAGCATTTTTTCTTTCCATAGGTCAAAGAAATAGGAAGGATCAGTATAGAACTTCAGCCCATCCTTTTTATCATCTCTATAAATCAATTTATGACAAGTTAGGAGAAAAAAGAAAGATTGTTAGAGATTTTCATATGGGTGAACTCATAACTCAAGAGATTATAAAATCTGCATGGTATATATCTCAATTGTATTATACATTAAGTATCTCAAATTTCCTTATTTGAAAAAAACATACAAATATGCAAAACAACAACTTGTTCTAAGGTAGCTACATAAAAAGTACTGTTGCAGATGGGAAGCCCACGGGGATTACAACTGAGATGGAAAAATGCACAAAATGATGTAAAAATAAACTATTATATTATAAAAAATGAAAAATAATGTAAAATAATAATAAGTAAATAAATTTTTAAAAACAAGTAGAAGGAGAAGGAAAAAAGAAAGTACTGTTGCAAATACAGCTTTAAGGGAAAAAAATGCTCCAAAAGTCACTATATGGGTCATAAAAAGATGTTGAGAATTTAACACCTCAATTATTTCAGGAAAATTTTTTGTTTGCTTGTTTATTCCAACAGGGGGCTATATACAGAGATCGGTGAATTTTCAGTACATGTTCATTCATTTATGCTATGGAGCTTCAATGTTATTAGAAGAAAAATTAGTAAGTCTCGTTTCCTTTTCTCATTCAGGCTTGTTCAACATATATAAATTTGACTTATTGGAAAGAAACAAAATATCCATGATGTATAAATGAAACTAGAAAACCAGTGGGAATGCCAGGAATTTTTAAAGTGGAAATACTCCACAAAGGAAATTCACTCACTTGTAGTCATTTCCTTTTCAATTACTCCTACAAATAAGTGGTCTACAGAATATATCAGATTTTATGTTGTTCGTTTATCATTAAAGCCAATGAAAACGTAGTTAATATGAATCCAAAACTGTCAAACTCAAAACAATCATGATACAAAATTAAACATTTATATTCATGTTTTAAAAATATTTGGCCACAGACTAGCTTCAACAGAAAGCAAATTACTTACACTTCAAATTCTTATTTCAATAGTCATTTAAGCACATAAAGTCAACAAAAATCAGGGAAATTTTAACATGGTGGTCCTCAGGGAAAGGGGAGGTTCTAGGTTCCCTGCTCCATTGGAACCTGGAACCTCCCCTTTTCCTGGGGACCACCCTGTTACAAAATGAAAACAGGAAATAGTTACTGCCTAAATAATCAAAGAAAGTATACTGAATTATGCAGGGGAAAACCTGTCTATCCTTAAAGTTCCTGCCATACCATGTTCTGGTCACTGCTCATCATCAAATACTAAGGCCCATGAGGGCTATTCTAGTTACTCTGTTTGAAAACTATGAACCAGTGCAATTTACTCTATACTTTAACCAATGGTTATTTAAATAACTCCTTTCCCAGTTTTCTAATTGATAAACAACTTAGATTACAGATTTTATTTATAACATTACTGTGAAAAAATCACATATTAACCTTTCAATCAGATAAAGAAATAATGAGGAGGAACTCGCTGTACAATTTAAGATGTATAAACGTGCATATTTTTAATTAAAGAGCTAATGTTTTAACGAAGTCAGAAAGTAAATAAGTAAATAAACATTAACTGAAGGAAAACTATAAGCAAGAATATGGTATGTGTGCAGCAGCTAAACACTTCCTTTTCAGTAACATTGCATTTCTCAGGTATTAAGACTATGTTGCTAGTCATTTTTAAATTAAAATGTGCAAGTGTATTTATTTTATTTTCCCAAAATACTGCTGCATTAACAAACAGTAAATATAAGTTGGCACTGCTATTGTTAAACCTACTACTAAAAAAAAAAATCAAAGACATTTTTATTATTTATAAAACTATATATATACTTACAATATATGGGAAAGTCAAATACCATTTTTCACAATTAAAATTTTTTAAAGGCTACAAGTATCTAATCACAATTTTGATTAACTAATGTAAGTGGGTTATTGAGTTTTCTAGATTTTTTCCGTTTAAACAGAATATTTAGCAAGGTTTTTTCAGCAAATATTTTAAAAAGTAAGGTTTCGGGCCCTCCCTGGTGGCACAATGGGTTAGAGCACAGTACTGAGAAGCTAACGCCACTTCAGCATGAGTTCGATCCCGGCCCTGGAGGTGACCCACATGTCACGCAGACCACTCCTGACCCGCCCGCTGCTCCCCTCAGCAGTGTACTTTGTCAATCTGCCTGTTCTGCTCCCCGCTCTGTCTCTGGTGAATCCTCTCACCACCCCTCTACCTTTGGCTTGTACCCCAACTCTTTATGCTTAAATAAAAAAAAAGTAAGGCTTCATGGATCTGAAATTGTCTGAGAAAAATGCCTATTGAACAAAAGCAAGATCACAAGTATTAGGCTTGTAACAGTTATGTATACTACTGAGATATATATATATATATATATACACACACACACATATATAAATATATATGTATATACAAATACATACATACACATATATACTATTCATATATAATACTGATTTTTAAATGGGCGTAGTATTAAAACCTCCAAAGAAGTCTATTTGTACCATAGAAAAAGTAGTATCTTTGAAAGAAAATACTGACATAGTTGAAGAGGTATGGGAGGTGTTTTTTAAAAAAGCAGTTTAGCTCTTTAGTGTTAATTTTTGCCAATTTTTATTTTTCCATATCTTGTTTTTAAGTCCTGATAACGTGTCCTACCATTTTCTAATAGAAGGTTAGTTGAATGATTGTTTATGTGTATACACAAATTCACTCTTAAAACCCTTAACACTAAAGAATATATTTTACTGAATTAAATAACAAATATCTCTGCATTGCTTAGGTGCTGAGACAGATATTCTGCAACACATAAATGAATTATGTATTTCCTTAAAAGTGACTTTGGATAAGAGGAATAAAAACAAAACCCCATATAATGTTGTTATGTAACATATCAACTTTTATTTAATACATCTACATTTAAAAGTTAATATTAGAGCTCACACTTCTGTTGGTAAGTTTCTCTACATTTTGAAATATGTTAACTTCAACAATTCTATACCATTAACTAACTTAATTGTGTATAATATTACTTTCAAAGTTTGAAAAAATGCTTTCACAAAACTAACAACCTCTTTCAACTCTTCCACATATACTAAGAAAGCTCTGGGAATAGATGAAGGCATACCTGTATGGTGTTAGAATATTCAGGGGAGGTGGTTTGTCACTCTGGTTATAGATGTCAGCAACAGGGTTAGGAATGCTGTTCTTTGAAACCACCTGCTGGTCTTGAACTGTGGAACTTTTGAAAGCTTTTTTCATGTTGATATCCTGTAGTGACACTATTTAGAGAAAAGTTCCCCAAGGTGAGTTATATGGAAATACTTTTAACTGTTTAGAAATAAGTGTCATTTGACACACTATCACACACATCTCCTAGAATATCTGTTCATTGAAAACCATGCTTAAAGAATATGTACATTCCTTCCTTCTCACAAAAAACAGATATCCTGAGATGAAATAAAGTCAAATCACATTTTTTATTCTTTTGCAGTGATCTAACTAGTTCACTGACCTTCATATTACAGCATCATTTTTTAAGTAGCATTTGGCAGAAACCATATAGAAATACTTGTGAGTATAACAGGCATGTAAATACAAAGATTTGAGTATTCTGGGGGAGGAAAAAAAATCTCAACAGCTAATACCAGTTTAATTACAATACATGTGACAATTAATTATGCAAAAATAGGCAAAAATGCATGTTTATAAAAGCACTTTTTCTGATACTAACATTAAGAAAGGGGGGAAAGCTTATCAGTTTACAGAGTCCTAGTAAGTAAGTAGCATTATACTAAAGAGAGAAAATTAGAGCTGACTATACTGGTTTCTTGTATTTGTATAACTAACACTTTACATCTCATTTACCCTCTCATCTGACTTAGACACAAACTTTTGACGTGCAAACTGGTCCATTAAACCATTTGATTGCTGAGGCTGAGAATCTGGGATGTTAAATGACCTTTTCCAGATCACCAGCAAAAAAGTGGCAGAACCAAAAGAGACAACGATTTCCTCATTTGGTCAAATATCCTTCCTATTAATAACATCTACAGAAAAACAGTCAAGTAAAATCTCAAAAAAACTCAAGGATATGATATGTTCAGCAAAAATTTCTTGAAATTTAATCTACAGATTAGTCTTTTCCAGTGTAAGGTTTATCCTAAACATTCCAATTAGAAGATCCAAAAGAAAACATAAAGGAAGGTAAATAATTATTAAAAAGTCATTTTTGATACCAACATGAAAAACAAATGATTGATTTAGGGTGCTAAATATTCCTTTTCTGGATTACATCAATTAAAAATAAATATATTGGGTATCCCTTGTGGCCTAGGGGTTAAATTAAATCTCTAATTTAAGATGTTAAGTATTCCTTATCTGTACTATGTGAATTAAAAACAAATTTATTGGGCCTTCTTGGTGGCATAAGGGTTAAGCAAGTGTCAGCACTATCACCACTATGGCCTGAATTTGACCCCCCCCCCCCCCCCCGAGGGAGCTAACCAAAAGGTGCAGCAGCCCTCTCCTGTCTCATGGCTGTTCCCCTCAGCAGTATATTTCTGTAAATCCACCGATTCTGTTCCCCCTTCTGTATCTGGCGAATCCTCTCACCCCCTCACACCTTTATTAACCTGTTTTAAAACCATGCTCAGTACATGCTATTTCTGAGACATGAAATCACAGGATTGTGATTATCTGCAGGTTTCACTGTCACAAGAGCAGTAGGTAGAGGCCTCCATTGTCAGACCATGGATGCAAAGTCCTCCCTTTTAGTTGATACACACTTTTGGAGTGAGTCTGTGATTTTTTAGGTAAAATCGGTACTTTCAAAATATGTACCAAAAACCTAAATTGGGAGTTCTAATATTGCATTTCAAATAGTTTTTTTTTTAAAATAAGTAAAAACTGTTTAAAGAGAATATGGTAAATGAGTTAGACAAGATATGAATCTTTTCTTGACCCACCCAATGCTATGGGCTTTTCCCCCTCACTATTCACCTAGGAAAATCAAGATGAAATAGCAGTATACTACCCCAAGGAAAAAGCAGTAATTAACTGCAATTAATTACTACCATCTTGTCAACATCACTTCTAGCTCACTGCTTTCATGCAATTACCTACCCTCTTCCACTGTTGAATCCAGCTGGGTAACTTTGACAGCAAGACGATCAATTCTGTCTTGAAGAGAATTTGCTCTGATGTAGAAGTTGTTAGCCTCATTAAACAACTCGCCAAATATGTCTTCAGCATGTTTGCCTATAGAAGAAAATGAATGGAGAAAGCCATCTGTTAGGAACTGCTGAAGCAGCCTTCACACATCCCCACCACTGCCGATTACTGTCAACACATGGGATTTTGTGCAAATGATTATAAAAATAAAGTGTCACAGTCAGAGGTCTTTAGAATTTTTGAAAATTCATTAGGGATATTCATCTGTATCTGCAACTGACCCAAAGTTGTACAATTTTAAAATGCCCATGCCCCAGAAAGTATCAGATTTGTATATAATTGCTATATGAGCTATCAAACTAGCTGCTTCCTATTAAATTGAACATGGGGGGGGGGAGTGGTGGAGAACTGTAGGATAAAATTTTTCTTTCTTTCCCCAGGTAATTCACAGTACGTATGTTGGTTTCTAAATTTAGGATTTTAGACATCCTGTATTGTGTGCCTAACACCTCCAACTGCACTAAATTCTTCCACATCGTGTTCTGAAATGCAGGTGTACAATTCTGGTTCTGGCATTTTTTTTTTAAATCATTATATTTTGAATTTTTAGTTTAATTTTTCTGTCTGGCTCACCTCTGCTTTTCTGAGAATTCCCTCTTTGCTAAAGTGTAATTAATGACATCTTTGAAAAACAAACGAACAAGACAGGAAACAGCAGCTTATGTTGAATTTCCAAATGCTAACACTGTCCCTTTATTTAATAAATATTTAATAACTCCTATTCTGAGGTTGCAAGGCATCTTTGTACACGATATTTTCTGACATACAAACCATTTTGTAAAAAATACTTTTCTTAGAACAGTTTTAGGCTCACAAAAATACCAAGTAGAAAAGTAGAGCTTCCACGTTCATGCATGTCCACCCCAACCCACATTATATTAAGATTCCACACCAAATTGGTACATTTCTTATCACTGATGAATTATACTGAAACATTCTTATCAACCAAAATTTGTAGTTTACATTAGGGTTCACTCTTGGTGGTGTATATAAGACAGATTTTGCTGTATGTATAATGATGTAAGTCTGCCATTACACTATCACATAAAATAGCTTCAATGACCTGAAAATTTTGTGTGTCCCACCTTTTCATTCCAATCTCCCCTGACCCTCAACCCATGGCAAACAATGTTTTTTTAATATTTCCAAAAGGTCAAAGCTGGAATCAGTTTGCTTCTTTCACTACGTACTTCAGATTCTTCCATGTCTTTCAAGGACTTGATAACTCACTTGTTTCTATCCTGGATTAATGTTTGTCTACATGTACCAACTTTATTTACCCATTCACGAAGGAAAACTTGGTTATTTACAGTGTTTGGTGATTCTGAATAAGCATTAGGGTGCAACTTTGAGTAGTTGTAAGTTTTCTACTGATAGGGGTAAATATAAAGGAACACAATTAGTTTAAGAACTCAATTAATTTTATAAGAAATTGCAAAAATATCTTCTAAAGTCACTAGGCCATTTTGCATTCCCACAAACAACACACAAAGTTCTCATTGCTCTATATGCTGGCGGCGTCCGTATCTAGGATTTTAGCCATTTTGAGTGTGCATGATATCATTATATTATTTAATTTGCATTTCCTTGATGATGAGCAATGCTGATCTTTTCATGTGCTTATTTATTTGACATCAGTAAATCTCCTTTGGTGATGTATCCAGGTCTTTTGCCCATTTTAAAACTGGGTTGCTGGGTTTTTATAGTTGAATGTTAAGAGTTCTTTGCATACTTTGGATAACAAACAGTTTTTTAACATAGTATGTCCTTTACAAGTATTTTCTCCCAGTCTGTGATCTGCTTATTCTTTTAACATACTTATTGTAGAGCTGCTGTTTGTAATTTTAATGAAGCCCAGTTTTTCAATTATTTCTTTCACTGTTGTAGATCTGGTGCTGTATCTCACAGCCACACCCATAGTCATCTAGGTTGGTTTTCTCCTATGTCAATTTCTAAGTGTTTGCTTGTTTTACATTTAGGTCTGTGATCCATTTTGGGTTGTCTGTGTAGAGTAGGTAAAAGTCCTGTGAGCAGACCTACAACTTCTTTTTCTTTGCATTTTCTACCAGTTTATCACTCAAGTAAGAAGTGAACCTTCTGGGAAGAAGCTTACTTGTATAACTGCTATACTGAGCAAGAATCGCCAGAATGTTTTCATTGTGCTTCACATTTCATAGCACTCTCACATCCACTTTCTGCATTCTCTGTGGTAATCCAAGAGACCATAAACTCCATGAGAATGAGGACCATGTCTGTCAGAACTGCAAGTCAGTCCTACAGCGAGGCATCCTGGTCCAAGTCCGTTCAGTGAGTGAGCTCAGAGGATACAGAGAGAACTGTTGCTTTTTTTGTCCACACAACAGACAGAACATCAGAAAGGAAATCTGTCCAAATCTCATGGTGAGGGACTAGTGGTAAGTGATGACACAAAACGTGGGTCTTCTAATTCCCTGCTTCTACCCTCTGATTCCTGGAAATTCCTTGGCTGGAAATTAGCAGCTCTAATGAATTATTCTGTGTTATGAGACACTTGTTATTTCATGTTTATTATATAATGAAATGGATTAAAATTTTGTTGCTTAAATGGTCACTGCTCGACAATAGATAAGCACTTCTTAGAAATTTCAAGGTAGCGTAATTTTATAAATTTCAGTGGTCCAACTGTCCTAAAAGAGTAATTTCTCTTAGGACATAAAAGTGGTAAAGTAAAAGCCACACCGCCCCTCCAGCCAAAGTGGGAAGGAAATCCCAGACTACTGATTTCAGTTGAGCAAATCGACATCTATAATGTGCTCCTCTTGAGTCAGTTAAATTCTGACCCACTCACACAGTATAAAAGTAGTTCACAAAAGGCAAAAAATAGTCTTCACATAAATTATACTTGTTTTAAGCACTATAAAACTACACATGGTCTCCAGAGTAAAATTTTACTTGTGACCTCATAAACTCTTTCCTGAGCAACAAACTTGTGTCTCAAACTAATGATGATATCCTGTAGGTAGCACCTCAAATCTGTGCAAGTTCTAATATGGGTGCATTTTCACATTGACCCTAACCTGCATCCCTGTGTTGAAAGGTATGAAACATTCAAAAACAAGGCAGAAGAAAGTAGTCTGTGACTGCAGAGGGCCTTCCTTTGTTGGCCACACAACACCTCTAGCCTCACAGTCTCCTTTCACTCAGACCTTCCTTGTTTCTCTAATGAGTTCTATCAACAGCTTTGTTTTTCTACTTTTCTTTTCAAATTTACTTCCCACCTGCATATTCATTACACTGCTGCCAAGTGATCTTTCTAAGAGAAAGATCTGGCTATGTCTTTCCTATCTAAATTCTTCTTAGCTTACATCATCTCAAAATAAAGTCTGAGCTACTGGTGGGATTTAGGGTGCCCTATGTGCTTCACTTCTGCAGCTAGTACTCCAGTCAGATGAACTTATTGCAATTTCTAAACCCATTCCACTGTCTCACAGATCCTCTCACTCTTCTGCATTTTCAACTCTTTCCCATGCCTTGACACCTCAGAATAGGAGCCAAGGGCCACATAAGAACAACTTACAAGATGCTATGTGACCAAGCTACATTTACTTACCTGGCCCACTGTCACCTGCTCTAACTACAGTGTCTCTTTGCTGTTCCTCAGAAATGTCAATCACTACTTGTGGGTCTGCTAATCCTACGAGGCCTGTTGGGCCATTATTTTGCTACCTATACTTCTCCATTCCTATACAAGGTCAAACTTCCCTTTAGTAACCAGTCAGTCCTAGGAGCCAAAACTTACAAGATGCCTTTCTAATCAATCAAGAGCAGAAAGTTGGATCACCCTGGGATGATGTGCATCCCAGTTGGGTGTGCATCGTGAGGTATGTCTAGGAATGCCCCGGGGAACCGAAGACAAGGGGCCCCAGAAGCTGATAAGTGGAACACCTTAAGATTGAAACCCTAACTGAGGAACTAGGACTGGCTCTCAATTACAATCCTGAATCATCAAGCAGATGAGAAGTACCTGGAGGGCAGATTCTTACTCCTTTATATTATAGATGAGAGTTCTACCTTTCCCCTTTTCCTCCTACAATTGATATTGTATGACTATTCTATCAGTAAAAAGGCCAGACCAGAATCTTCCTCTTCAGCAGCTTCCTGCATTATGCAGCCAGCTTATCAGTGTGGTATTGCCCGCAAGAGCTGCTCCTCCTCAGCCTTTTGTATTCCCCTGTTCCTTCTGTCCGGTCGATTTTTGTCCCAGAGTTTCACATAGTGTGTTCCCTCACTTGATTCAAGTCTCATGTCCAAATGTCACTGTTGAAGTGAGGCTTTGTCTAGCAATCCTAGCTAAACTAAGTTACAATCACAACCATCCCTCCCCCCACAACCATTTCTAATTGCCCCCTGCTTTTTCTCCTTAGCATTTACCAGGATGTAACAAGCTTTGTACTTTCTTATCTTGATTCTTACTAGTCACTGTCCCGTAGAATAACAACCTGAGAGGACAACTTCCTCCTCAGTTCTGTGCATTGTAGAATTCCCAAATTCTAGGGCATGTCTGGTTTACAGTAGGAGCTCAAAAAGATTTTGAAAAAAATGAATGAAAGTGCATTAACTTAAATAAATCCTTATGAACACGAAATGTGGGAACACAACAATCACAGTTTTTATCATGTAACTGTAATTCTGTGTTTAAGTGCTTTTTTAAAGAACATGATCTAAGACTGTTATTTCCGCTTTGCCTGAACTGAACCAGTCCTCTGTACTTCTTGAACACACACACACACACACACACACACACGGTTTAATAAGAAAACGTAACGTTTTCTTATTAACAAATAAGAAAACGTAACGTTTTCTTATTAACAAGTACATAACCAACATAGGCTCCCCGTTAAAAGTAAGCTTGGAAAGTGCTGGTCTAAAAAGGTTAAACATGTTTCCCTACCTTGAGGCACCTCAAAATCTTTAATATGCTAAGATGTATTAGAAATCTACAAAAGAAAAATCTAGCAAACCAAGTTTTCAAACTGACTGGTCTTCAA